AGACTTGGAAAAAATAATATTAAGTGAAGTAAGCCAGGCCCAAGAAACATAGGTCCCATGGTTTTCCTTGTTTGCAATGACTAGTACATGTCTAGGACAAGCAGAGGTCAAAGGCTATGTACATATGACCATATAAAATGATGTGGTTTTTTCCTTGCTTGCTATTGTTTTTAATGTACTTACAATGCACTATGTGATTCTTTTGTGTCTTTTGTATGTTCTTCCCCATGTTTTCACTGTATTTGATTCCAGTGTTCTACATCTTGTATATGCATTTTTGTAATCTGGGGAGGAGAAGGGATAAAATGGCAGTTTAAATGGAGATGTAGGTTGACCCATTGTGACGATGAGATGTACAGTACACTGTTGAAAACCATCTTTACAATTGGGGGGGTGTGGGGAGAGAAAGGATGGTAGGGGGAAAACAAAGGAGGAGGTAACAATGCTTGATAGGTAATGTACTCATTACCCTATTCATGTAACTGTAACCCCTCTGTACAGTAATTTTACAAAATACATACATTTAAAAAATCCAAGGTTTCTATGCTGTTAAAGAATAGCACTGCCATAATTATTTCTCAGCTTCTTGTTCGTAGAGTTTTAAAGTCAGTGAATGTTTCTTGACCTCTTGGGGTCTTTTTTCTTGGTTTTTGTTATTTTGGTTTTTTACTTATTGTTTGTTTGTCTCTGTTTTTCTTGATAACCACGTTATGATTTCAGACCTAGGTTGTATTCTGCCTGTCTGAAGAAAAGATGATATGGAGTAGATGGTATAAGATTTGCAGTAAGAAATAGAAAATACAAAGTTGGTTGACAGATTATGTCTTAGATTGTAAGGCAGGATCTGTGAAGGACACCTGTTGGATCAGGGCTGTTAAAGACTAAGGCTTATTTCAGAAGAGACAAGGTCAGTCTAATTTTACAAAATAATATGAGCAAAAGAGAAGAGCTTGGAAAACCTAATTTGAAAATGGTATACAATCCCATTATAGTGAAATTCCAAGTATTTGAGGTCTTAAACATGAAGACTTGACTTAGAAAAGGTATGTTTGATTTCCAAAGTTCATTGAGTTCAGAGTCAGATGTTACTGAACAGCAGTCAAATTGAAGTTATTGAACAGACTAGAACAGCAAAAGTACAGTTTAAAATTGAGTATTAAGAGGTCAGGTAGAAAGACATGAAGCATTTGTGCATAAGGGAATAATAATAACCTGACTAAGTGTCATGAATCTCTTTTTTTTTTTTTTTTTTGTCGGTTGTGGGGCTTGAACTCTGGGCCTGGGCGCTGTCCCTCAGCTCTTCAGCTCAAGGCAAGCGCTCTACCACTTGAGCTACAGCGCCACTTCCAGTCATGAATCTCTTAGCTTATAGGATCATGTAGGCATAGAATGAACATAGTGAGAAATGTCAAGCAAGCAACTTAAATTGGGACTTTTGTTTTTTTAAACAAAAATGTGGCAGCATTATACTAAAATGTATGTAATTTTAGGCCTTAAGATTCCATAGTCTTATTTAAAGAAGTTTTATGCTTAGGCCAGACCCTCAACTGTAGGCAGATCACTCTTTTCCTGTTATGAACAGAAAAGCCAGACAGATGTTGAAGTGAAAGTGTAGCCATTTGGAAGTGGTATGGGATCTGAAGGGGGAAGGGAGAGAGGACAAGTCAGTCATTTTTCACAAGTGCATCTAACATTGCTTGTGAGAAAAGTACTGATTAGAAAAAGGTACTGAAACAACAGTCTTAGGAAATCAGCCAGATAGCAAGGAGGTTTTCTTATAGGCAGATTGGACAGTTAAGGAGACATGGGGAGCATACTAGCAGCTTCCAGTTCAGTGTAGCTGAAATTTAGAGTGTAGAAAAGTAACAGGCAAAACATGAAGCTGAATCAAGAAGAACCTTTAAAGAAGGAAATACAGTTGAAATGAAGTGTTCTGAAAACTTCAGAATAATTCTATGAAGTGGTTTCTAGTAATTGTTTCTCTGTTAGAAAATGGTAGTTACCCAGTATGTTTTTCTGCATGAATTAGGGCTTTCTTGCCCTCTGCAGAAACACCTGCTGTTTACTTGTATTTTATGTCAGAGGCTAAGCATTCTCAAGCCTGTGGATCAGGCAGAACAAGGAAGCCTAATAGCTCACATAAGGAATTATTGGTATCTAAAAATGTTTACTGGTTTTAGTAGTAGTGTGTCAACAAATATCTGCTGCCTGATTCTACCCAAATGTTGCAAAAGTTTGCTATTCCTGCTCTATATTTTGTGAAAATGTACCACTATCTTCCCATTATACACATTTTTTCTTGCTATACACAAAATATTTAAATGTCATAACAGTGGGAATCCAAGATACACAAAGAAAAGGAACACAGGCCAAGTCAGCCATTACCCTAGGAGGACAGAAATGTGGGATCTTACTCTTTTCCATCTGCTACAAATAATATTTGCATTCTATTTGCTGAGTCTTATTAGAAGATGTTATTTGACCTCTGTCCAACAAAAATTGTTAAAATGATGGAATTAGTCTGTTCTGTTCATGTTCATGAAGCTCATATCTGGCAGTAGGGGGCACTCTTGCTAAACTAGCCAATACCTAAATAATCTCAGTATCTTAAAAGTGTTTGGAAAAATACAGGGTTGTTTTTCTATTTTATCATTTGTCTTCACAAAACTGGTTTATTAGGAATAACTTAATGTGTTTTAATGATATGTGTCTTTCAGACAGTTGGTGCAACCCTTGTAGCCATGATTGGAGCTGGAATGCTAGTACAGTCCATATCGTATCACCAGAACAAGGGCCCGAAGCATCTTGCTTGGTTGCTACATTCTGGTATGTTCTCTTTTAAATTGTTAACTTTTTCTTTTTTGAAACAGAACCTTGCTGGGTAGCCTAGGCTGTCGAAAATTATTGGTCTCTCAAGGCCCAGTTTTTAAATACTTCCCCTTTAGATTAGCTCTTCACTGCTGTAATGGCTTTATATATAATATATTGAAAGCTTGTGTTGAAAAAAATCACAATTTTCTGAAGTCACTACTGGTTGCATTACTGTCAGACATTTACATTGAAGGGTAGATTTCTGATAGTAAGTCTGTGGCCATACACCAGTATTGAACTTGTCTCTGAAACAAGGTAATATGTGCAGAGTACTATTTTTTGGTATATTGTCCAATACCAGTAGAATTTCAGACCTGATATTTACTACTTGAGAATTGCTTTTGTCTGATCATTATGGGGGAAAAAAACTGAAGATAGAAAAGGTTGCTAAATTTTTTTCTGCCAATTGCAAAATTGATAGGAATTGTAGTAAAAAAAAAAAGTCATTTGTGACTTTTATCTCCTATCTTTCTTCAAGAAATAGTAATTTTAAGTTAGCATTAAGTACAGTGTACCTTACTCTTGATCTAGAAATGCTTGTTTTTCCCCAAAAGACACAGTGGTATTGAAGATACAAGGTGACAGTTGTTCTTTGAGCTTAGAAAATACTAAGCTAGCTGAGTGCTGATGGCTCACATCTATAGTCCTAGCTGCACAGGAGGCTAAGATCTGAGGGTCACAGTTCAAAGCCAACTGGCACAGAAAAGTCTGTGAAATTCTTACCTCCAATTAACCACAAGAAAACGGGCTTAAAGTGGTAGAGCACTAGCCTTGAGCAAAAACAGCTCAAGGACAGTGCCCAGGCCCTACAAACTAATAACCTAACATTTTAGTAATGAAATAGTCTTCAGTCAAGATTTTTTTCACTTCAGGTATTGCATTTATCTTTGTTCAACTTTTGCTCTCTTTTCATTTTTATGAAAATGCTTACCTAACAACTAAAATTACTTACAAGCTGCAGTAGCATGTGCTACGGCACAGAGTAACAATAGCATCTGTCCTGAAAGTTCATGTATTTTCAGACTTACCATCTTACCCTCTTCCTCTCCTTTTACTTTAGTCTCTTTGGCAGCAGTAGATTTGACCTTGACTCCCCCTTTTTTTTTTTTTTAAAGCCTTATATATAACTAAAAACTGGTGGTGGACTGAGACCAAATAAAGAGCTAAACAAAATTTTGTAAGGTTACTAAATATGTAGGGTAATGTTAGTGTTTTTGAGTTGTTACCATTTGACTGGGAACCTAGTTAATGTGGTATGGATTTGGTTAGCCTCAGATTTGGGTTGTGGAATTATATAAAGGGAAAACATTTTGTAATCATACTGTTTTCATAAAAGGTACAGCACAGCATGGCATATTGGAAGCCACATTTTCGCTTTGGTAACAAGCATTCCCTCTTTCCCCAGGTGTGATGGGTGCCGTGGTGGCTCCTCTGACAATACTGGGGGGACCCCTTCTCATAAGAGCTGCATGGTACACCGCTGGCATCGTCGGAGGCCTCTCCACTGTGGCCATGTGTGCTCCCAGTGAGAAGTTTTTGAACATGGGCGCACCACTGGGAGTGGGCCTGGGTCTTGTGTTTGTGTCTTCACTGGGTAAGCTGCCGTGTTTTCATCCTTAGTGCTTGATTCCTAAATTCTGGCACATTTTGGGGTGGTAGTGGGATTTGAACTCAGGGCCTTGTGCTTGCTAGTCACTGCCAGTGATCTTCACCTCCAGCCAGGGAATTCTTTCTTTCTTTTTTCTATTTTTAGAAAGTAAAGCTTAATTTTCTTGTTTTGATCTTAGGGTCCATGTTTCTAGCACCGAACACTGTGGCTGGTGCCACTCTGTACTCAGTGGCAATGTATGGTGGATTAGTTCTTTTCAGTATGTTCCTTCTATATGACACTCAGAAAGTAGTCAAACGTGCAGAGGGAACACCATTGTATGGACAGAACAGATATGATCCAATCAATTCGTAAGTAATCCTTACAGCTGTTACTCTGTTACATAAGTATGTTTGTGTTAATGTGGGCTATATTTCTTAGAGTATCTTGAGATGGGTTGCTTAAGACAACAGAAAATTACTTTTTTACATCCTGAGCCTGGAGCCTAGAAAGAAGTACAATATTATATTTCAACACCTCCATTTCTTGAGCACTCTGAAGGAAAAATCTATTCTGTGTTCTACAGCTTTTTGTTACTGTTGGCAAGGTTTGATATTCCAATCCTCCAACTTCACTTGCCATGTTACCTGTGGGTTGTGTCTCTTCTTTTAATTCTGTCTTGTCTATTTTTTTTTAAAACAGGTTTGTTTTTTTTTTAATAAGTCCACCAGGCATATTGGGATGAAAGCCCACCCTACTCTAGTATGACCTTATCATTACTTACCTTAAAATCTTAATTATGTCTTCTGAGACCATATTTCCAAGTAAAATCAGACTCACAGATCCCAAGGTTAGAACTTCTAGGTATCTTTTGAGAGGATGACTTTGTCAAATTTTGCTATTTTATTTCATAAACTATAGATCCAGAAAACATCTGTTTATATGGCAACCAAGCATATGCAATTTAGTTATTCCATTGAATTGTATATACTGTTTATTGGGAAAATATACATAATTGACTCCAGTTTTTAGAGACGTATAGAATAAGCTCTTATAATTCTAAAAATTAACAAAATTTTTAATACTCAGGATACCACTCCATTTTTGAGATATTTAAGTGGCATATAATATTATATCACTTTTCTTGGAGTCTACTTCAGTAGTTTTTTTTTTAAGTTTCTTAGAGTTACATGGTATTAGTCACATTTTTTTTTAATTGTGAAAATACTGAACAGAGGGATTACAATTACATGGTCAAGCTAATGAGTACATTTCTTACCAAGCATTGTAGCCTCCTCTTTTGTTTCCCCTTCCCATTCCTTCCCATCCTCCCCCTGACCCCCCACCCAATCCTCCCTCCCACCCCGCCCCCCACCAAAGTTATAAAGTTCGTTTTCAACATAACGACTTGTACATCTCCTTGTTGCAATGGGTCCACCTGTATCCCTATTTAAACGATTTGTTATTCCCCTTCCCCTCCACGAATTGGAGATACTTTTAATATGAATGTGTTTTGCTTCAGCGGTTGTCATAGTGGAGTCCCCAGACTAACAGCAGAAGATAGATAAATACTCTGGTCCTATCAAACCAAAGCCTCTGGCAAGAGGTTTAGCAATTTCTGTGTTAACATCTCTTTGCAGTTTGGGAGCCAAAGTTCTGTTCATTAGATTGTCCAACTGGCTCTATATAAGAATAAACCATAGAATTTTTAAATTGATCAATACACAGATTCTACTGGAAGCCACTAAATGACAATCTTTTGATGATTAGCCCCAGATATTTAGAGTCTTCTAGGTCCTTTAGATGGCCTTAATAAGCAGTTAAGCCAGAGTTCAGAAAATGATGGCTCAACCCTAGTTGTACACTATACTCACCAGGGAAGACTACAGAGCAAAATATTATCAGGGGTCCCCCAATCCTAGAAACCACTGAATCAGAATCTTAGTAGATTAAGCCTTGCAACTGTATTTTTAAGAAGCTCTAGATAAAAGTATTGATTCATCTGCCTTTAGCTAAAGACATTTGAATGGGCTAAATAATCTCCCCAGGTCTGTTCTCTTGATACAATTATATTTAGCATATAGTTTTACACTTAGTAACTTTTAAACATAGTTCCTTTTTTCTCCCTATTTTTGTAGTCACATTTTTTTAAAGTAATTTGTTTTGCTTAATCTAAAATATTTTGTAATGGTTTGAAAAATGTTTCTGTAAAGATTTGTAGCTTTCTTTTTTTTGGGGGGTGGGGGGTCCAGTCGTGGGCCTGAACTCTGGGCCTGGGCGCTGTCCCTCAGCTCTTCAGTTCAAGGCTAGCACTCTACCACTTGAGCACAGAGCCACTTGCAGCTTTTTTTTTTTTTTTGCTTATGTGGTGCTGAGAAATCGAACCTAGGACCTCATGCATGCAGCAAGCGCTCTACCACTCAGCCACCTTCCCGGCCCTTGTAGCTTTCTTTAGGAAGGTGAAGCTGACATATTTTTAAATGCCAGGCTGTGTCTAACAAGTTCTTAGGTGTTTCTTTGGTTTTATTTTGATTATTTCATTGTCTAACACCCAAGGTTTGTTTTGTTTATTCTTTCTTTGCAAGATATTATATTTAGTGCATCAGAGAATAAAATATAGAATAATGCCTTTAAAGATTACCGTTAACATTTAAAGATAACTCTACCAGGGGGGGAAATGCCTCTTTTCTAATTTAAGACTTGTTTGGTGGTTAGCAGTTAAACAGTATTTTAAATAAATTTCCATTTCATAGATCTAAGACAAATAATATTTCTTTTTCTTTTCTATGTTAAGAAATAGTCTTTATATCATTAGGATTGCATCATATATAATGGGCGTAATTTCCTTTTCTAGGATGTTGGGAATCTACATGGATACACTGAATATATTTATGCGCGTCGCATCTATGCTAGCAACTGGAGGTAACAGAAAGAAATGAAGTGACAGCTTCTGACTCCTCCAGCACATCAGATGTCTTGCTGTTGAATAGGGCAGATATTCATTGCACAGTTTGGACAAGCAGCTTTCATTGAAGTTTAGAAGATAAGAACCTGTCAACATGTTTGAAATGTTCCAGTAATGTGACCCTTCAGGTCTGCTTTTTCTTCTAGAGAATAAATTGAGTAGTACTCTTCTAGATAAGATATATTTTCAACTCTTATATATAAATAATCCTAACATTCTTTAACAAACATGAAAACTAAGATTTGTGTTATGAGAATTAAGTGTATTAGATTAAGAGTTAGCCTACATATGTTGGTAGATAGAAAATATTGTGATGTTATAAATGACTTTAAGGATTTAATATAGAGAGCAGAGAAAGGCAGTCGTAGGACTTAGCAATATGTAATTATGAAGAGCCCTAGTGAACAACATTATTTGGACTATTTGAAAACAAACACCTGCTGTGTTTTCATTAGCCTTTAAAAGAAAAATGTAGGATTTCTTCTCCTGTTGTTTTCCTTAGTACTCTTTTTCCAGTGTTGATATGTTGTTACAGTCCAGAATGTGAATCATATGGAGAGACCCTGATAGAATTATGTATGTATAGATGTTTTACATTGAAATGTCTAAAAGTATCTTACTCTCACAAGTATATTTGATGCTTATGTCAGGTATACATGAAAGATATTCACTAGTTGCTGAATTTTGTGCATATTTACTGAATGTCTAATTGAGATACATGCTTTCATTTTATCATCTCAAAGTTTTGAAGGCTTTGTCAGAAAAGCCCATTTGTAGCTTACTCTAGAGATTTTGAAAATGTTTTACTCCTGAAATTGTTGTATGTGTTTTCCGTTTTCTCTTAGACTGAGCATTGAAAAACATAGCAAAAAAATTTTTTTTCTTTAAAATATGTATGCATCAAAAGTGTATGTGGGATATCCGAGGTAGTTCATTGGTTCCCCTAGCAGAATTTCCTTTTTGTCCTACATAGCTTTCTCATGATATTTGTAAGTTTTTTGATACATAATAGTTATTTGGGGAAGTCTTCAGTGAATGAAAGGAGATCTGTATGATTATTGAGATGATTGCTATTCTTGGGGAACATTTTATTACAGTAATCCTGAAATAACTATTTTAACCACTTCAGAGTACACAGGATATCTATTTCTGAAATAATAAAGATGCCAGCTGGATGGTGATTAGTGTACTTTTTCTGCCTGAAACATGTACCTCATTTGAATCTTGATTTATTCAAGAAAGAAACTGAGGCTCTTGCCACTATATGGTGTAATGAGATGGTGAGTCTTGTAGGTAGACTTCCTCTGTTTCAGTCTAAACTCTTCATTTCTTAAATCTGGTACTGAATGGAGGTGTTGATTGTTAGCACCAGCTGTGGGGAGACACAGGGATGAGTGGCCAGAAGCATGTTAGGGATGGCACCAGAGGGGCAGCTGGCCTTGGTGAATTTTGAACACAATGCTGAAGTCAGAAATCCTCATAGCATAGGGAAATTTAGAGCCCTAACAACAGCTTGAATTTTCATGTAAGTCCTCTTAAGAGATCAACTGTTGGTGTTCTATTAAGTTAACAGTTGAATCTTGGGAAATAGCAACAAGCACTTTGATGACTAAGGTAAAGTTATTCATTAACTACAAAAGGATTATCCAGAGTAATTGCAACAGAGTCTGCAGGAAGTAGCGAGCAAATGTGCCAAGTGAGGATGGGAAGGGCTGTGCTTTGGCGTGAAAAGAATGTTGGGCTATTCCCACAGGCAGCAGCATGGGAGGTGTCTTAACCTACTTAGCAGAGTGATTAGCTTCCACCTGCAAGACCCTGACCAAGTTCTGTGTGATTTGAAAGATTGTAGATGAAAGAGGATCAGACACACCCATCCCAGGGGACCACACAGAGGCAGGCAGGCACAGGAGAAAGATTATAAGGTTTATTAGGGGAGCCATATTTCCCCCAAGAGGGAGCACATGGCCTCCCTCACCATCCAGGTAGCAGGAGGATCTGGGAGGTAGATGGGAGTTTAGGTGGGTCTGGGTGGAAAGAGGGAGGGGCCCTCTGTATAGAGGGAACTCCAGGATGGGAGAGGGCCCAGGTCTGGGTAGAGCTGAGGACCAAAGGTGAGCATAACACTAACAGTAGAAACTCCTACAGAATTCTGTACATGCTCACAGTTGAGTGATTTTTACCCTCACATGCCTCAGAAGATGTGAGCACAGTTGGCCATTTTATTTTAAGTAGTGATTTTTAAAGAAGTTGGGAGGGCTGGGAAGGTGGCCCAGTGGTAGAGCACTTGCCTTGCATGCATGAGGCCCTGGGTTTGATTCCTCAGCACCACATAAGCAGAAAAAGAAAAAAAAGCCAGAAGTGGTGCTATGGCTCAAGTGGTAGAGTGCTAGCCTTGAGCTGAAGAGCTGAGGGACAGCGCCCAGGCCCAGAGTTCAGGCCCTACGACCGGACCCAGAAAAAAAAAGAAGTTGGGACAATGAAATATTTTCACTGTCATAAATTGAGTGGCAAGAAAACAACTGACATTTAGTAAGTGAGGAGCTCTAGGAATCTTTTCAGTCTTTTTTTTTTCCTTATGGGCATATTAGAAAGTGAAAATAATTTAAAACACTTTGTAAGAAGTTGAAATGGTAAAAGATGCTGGAGAACCAGTTTTTTGTCTACCCTAGAGTCCTCCAAGTACAAGGGCTTGGCTGCAACAACTCTGACTCCTAGCTGAGGCAACATCTCTGGGACTATAGCTGTTGCCACATTGCTCACCTCACCTGTTCTAGTGGTGCTAGGTATAGGAGCAAGAGTAAGAAGTAAGGTGATACCTCTCCCTGGGAGTCTGCCAAACTGCAAGATACAGAAGAGACAAAAGAGGATTCATCCCAAGCTCCCTTGCTGTTCTCCCACCATGAGCTCTAGCAGAAGCATTTGACTACATTCCTGCCCTGTTCTTTCTGCATATTATCCCTTCTGCTAAATCTCTTGTGCTTGCTCTACTGGTCCTCACTTTTCCCCCCATCAGAAAGCACATATGAAGTGCTAGCCGTAATTGAGACCTAAATTTCCAATGGTGTGTGTGTTTCCTTGCTCTGTGGCAAGAGAAACAGTGCAGATTTGGTAACTTGGAGAGATTTTTGAGGGAAAGGTAGTGAAATCCAGCCATGAGATCTTGAAATCTGTGTTGAAGGAGGTACCTGCACCCTCATGTTCACAAGAACCAAGACATGGAATCAACCTGGTGTCCATCTAGAAAACACAAACTTCATTTGCAACAACATGGATAAGCCTAGAAGGTATTGTGTTAAGTGAAATATTCTAGGCAAAGAAGTTTGATGGACTGTTATACAAGGAATTGTAAACAACTTAGAAGAAAGGTGGGTACCCTACTACTGGGTTAGAGGGAATGAAGACATTGTAGTTAGGGCTGGGAAGGTGGCTCAGTGGTAGAGCACTTGCCTTGCATGCGTGAGGCACTGAGTTCGATTCCTCAGCACCACATAAGCAAAAAAAAAGCCAGAAGTGGTACTGTGGCTCAAGTGGTAGAGCACTAACCTTGAGCTGAAGAGCTGAGGGACAGTGCCCAGGCCCAGAATTCAGGCCCCAAGACCAGACCCCCCCCCCAAAAAAAAAGACATTGTAGTTACCATTCAGACAAGAGGAAAAAGTGCTCTATAATGGATATGGTAATTGGTTTCGTTCAATCATTCCACACACTACATCACTGTTACCCCATAATTCCATACAGATAATTGGTCATAAAATGAGAAAACAGCATGGTGCAAGTGAATTCTGCACAAGTTGGAAATCTTAAACCTTAGGAGGTAAACCAAAAATAGCCAGAATTTTTCTTAATCTTAGATGGTATTGAAACTAAATAAAATTTCATTAGAATTTCCTGATGAATATGACTTGATTTAATTGACTGTAGAGTCATCCTTAACTGTTGACAAATACAATAAATACTTTGAAGGGGAATCGATAAACCTGGATGTGGAAATCAGCTAGACTACATAAAATCTTCCTGGAGCAAACACTTTGCCATTAAACACCAAGCAAACCTGTTAACTATGCAGCTCCAGTTACTAATTTACATTGAAAGAAACAGACTCAGAGAAGTTGATCAACTTGTCCAAGTCACGCAGCTAAAACAGCATTCTGATTAGAGCCTTGGTCATGTGGCAATAGAACCTGTATGTGTTTTCAACAAGTATGGGGGAAGCAGGAAGACAAAAGTTGCTTGAAAATGTGTTGAGGCAGGAAACACAATGGTGGGGGAGGGGGGAGAACCCACACAGCTCCAGAGAGCAGGCAAAAAAGTTTGGGGGCCCCTTCCACCACAGACAGTCTGGTTTCACAGGTGCTCCAACACCAGTGTGGAGTGGCTGGACAGTGCCTCTAGTTTCTACCAGCCTCAGTTGCCTGTTGGAGAGGGTAAGATCCCGGCCCTTGGAGTGGAGGAATGCATTGGTCTGGTGAGAACGCCATAGTGAGCCAGGATAACCCCATAACCAAGACAGACCAACCTGTGTGGAGGGAGATGTGAACAGCAGTGGAGAAATTCACAGCACCAGTGAGCCAGTAAGACCAGCATTGAGAGAACACCCCCTCACCACCAAGCCAGCCTGACTAAAGCAGTAACCCAGCAGCTGCAGGCAAGACCTGCAAGGCTTGAGGCTTAGAAGGAAGTTCAAGTTAACTGTCAATAGGAGGGGAATTATTCTTGCCTGTAAGCTAAACGTCGAATTTTTAAAATTTTATTTTTATTGTAAGGATATTGTACAGAGGGGGTTACAGTTACATGAGTAAGGCAATGAGTACATTTCTTGAGCATTATACCCCTTCCCTTGTTGCTCTCCCACTATCCCTTCTCTCCCCTACCTCCCTCCTTCCCCCCCAAAGTTGTACATTTCATTTCCACTATACTGTCTTGTGGGTATCATTGTTGGAATGGGTCGTCCTGTGTCCTTGTTTCAGAGCTAAACATGGATGTTAAAGGCTATTTCCAACGGCTCATGAGTTCTGGAGCTCTGGGAGTTTTGGAATCCAACAGATCAGGTTCCAGTTGAGAAATTCTATGGGGGAGGGCAAAGGGGAAATCTGGCACCATTCTGAGGGTTGTGCAGTTTGCTGAGCAATTTAAAGTAATTTCTGGTACATTATGGGGTCTATAAAACCCTCTTGGAAGAAAAGGTGCTGCCCAAGAGCAATGTAGGACATAAACCAAGAAAAGGTGCACTTCTGGGATTTGCTTGATTTGACTTTGACTGACTCTTTAGTTCCTTGTAAATTCCCAGGTGTCTTTGGGTGTGTCTCTGAAGACTTCTTTCTCACGAAAGCTACCAAGGTTTCAAAATCATCTTTCGAAACCACTCAAAGCCTTATGTTTGAGTATTTGGGGGGAGGTGGAGGGCAAGACTGCAAATGTTGAAAACCAACAAGTGTCCCTATTAAAAATGCTTCTCATTTTCACCTCTCTCAACTCAGCATGAGATTTTGAATATTCCAAAAAGCCAGAGGTGTTTCTTTCCTTTTTAAAGCTAGGAGTTGACAGCTCTCTTTGAAATGTTAAAAGCGAATGAAAATCTGAGAACAGCAGTGGTCCCCAGAGTGTAGGGTTGTACCTAGAATTTACTCTCTACCCTGTGTTATTTCAACTTAGGGGGACAGGATTGCTTCAGCAATTGGTTTGGGGAGCATTTGAGAAGCTGAGGGCACAAAGCATGAAGCTCAGTGATGCAGAATCTGCTAACTGAGCACTGCCTCCAAGTTCAATGTCCAGTATTAGAAAAAAAAGGAAGAAAAGAAAAGAAAGAAAAACATAACAGATAGGAACCAGGCACCTGTGGCTCACTCCTGTAATCTTAGCTACTCAGGAGGCTGAGAGCTGAGGATGGAAGTTCAAAACCAGCCCAGACAGAAAAGTCTGTGAGACTCTTCAACTAAAAGCCTGAAGGTGAGATGTGTGTCAAGTGGTACAACAGTTGGCAAAATAGCCAAGGAAGAGCGTAAGGCCCCTGAGTTCAAGCCCCATTACTGGCAAAAGAAAAGGAGAAAAAAGAAAAGAGGGAGGAAGGAAGGAAGCAAAAGATAAAGAGAAAAGAAAGAGGAAGGAAGGGAAGAAAGGAAGGAAAAAAGGGAAGGAAGGAAGGGAAGAAAAAACAAGTAGGATCCTGCCAGATTTGTCCCAAGATATGGTGCCAGGAAAACCTGCCAGTCTGTGAGTTGTATGTGTAAATGTATAAGGAGCAAAGCCCCTGTATAGCCCATTCCTTCCCTTAGCTGTGCAATTAATTACCCTAATCCCTACATCTCTGTCAGCTAGGCTTTTATTTTCCCCTCTGATGATGGTTTGCCAAAAAGCAACAAGGATCTATTTCCATGCAAATAATACCTGTTACAACAGGTAACAGGTACGTGACAGCCAAAGGTGATCTGCTGCCCAGAAAACTCAGCACTCTCAAATGACTCCTGATGAACATCTAGTGATGCTAATCCTTGATCTGTACAGTGGATATTGTCCTAATCTTATGACACTAGGCTGGCTGTATAGGCCTGGGGCTTAAGAATCTGGTGGGGGGGGGGGCGGGAGGAGGGAATGTGTCTGGGAATGTGGCTTAGTGGTAGAGTGCTTGCCTAGCATGCATGAAGCCCTTGGTTCGATTCCTCAGTAACACATAAACAGAAAGCCAGAAGTGGCATTGTGGCTTAAGTGGTAGAGTGCAAGCCTTGAGCAAAAGAAGCTCAGGGACAGTGCCCAGGCCCTGAGTTCAAGACCTAGGACTGGCAAAAAAAAAAAAAGTAGAAAATAAAGAAAAAACCTGGTGCTGGCCTGCAAGTGCAGCCTGACTCACCCAGTGCCTCACCCTCTTTCCAAAAGTGACCACCCGAGGTCTCTCTTGGGCACCAGCTCTAGAGCTGTCTTGGTAGACACCACAGTCATGCAAGGCCATCAGGACTCAGAGCACACCTGCAGAGGGAGTCAGGATGGGCCCGGGAAAGGTGATTGACATGACATACTGTCAGTCCTTTGACCTAGCAGCCTCAAATAGTTTCTTTCTGCAAATTAAAGACATGTGTGTTTGTGTCTGTCTGTGTGTGTGCACACACGTGCATGGATATTGTCCTTGTTCCTGAGCATTTTTGCTCAAGGCTAGCACTCTACCACTTGAGCCACAGCTCCACTTCTGGCTATTTGGTGTTTAAATGAAGATAAGAGTCTCACTGACTTTCCTTCCTAGGCTGGCTTCAAACTATGATCCTCAGATGTCAGCCTCCTGAGTAGCGAGGATTACAGGCATGAGCCACCAGCACCCAACAACTTCAAAGCTTTTGACAATATATAAAAGTATTCAAGCTGTCAGAATATTCCATAATCATTGATTTGCTCATTTAGCTGGTCTAAGCATATGGCCTCTTTTTTTCTCTCTCTCTAATCTATAGCAGAGGAGGAAGGCTAGGGAAAGTGTAACATGGGCCAGATCCCTGCAACAAGGAATACCTGACATGGCTGCCCTGAACCATGGAGATCCTAGAAAGCTGGAAAGACATTGGCATCCTCAATAGGAACTTCCAGGATAGGAACCAGAATCATTTCCTTGGGCAGAAAGGCAAAGTTATCCAGGCATAGGAGAGATGGCCAACCCTATCTTCACTGGCTGGTCCTGGCCTACCTACAAAATAAAAATTATATTTCTATCTTCAGCCACAGATAATGCCTAGCCTGTGTTCAAATACATGGAAATCCCTTCACTCACAGTTCCTTTCCACTCTTGTAGCTGGAAGGGTGTTTGCATCTTTCTCTCTGTATTCTCTGGACACCAGTTTGGACATATGGTACTGATTCTTCTTCTGTGGGGTTGTGTCTAATTGCCTGAGCCTTATCTCCTGTCTCTAGAGATGACAGCTTGCTTTGGGCAGGAAAGAGGTACCACCATGGATTTTCAGCACATTCAAGGAATTGCAGAACCCACACACTGCTCACAATTAAACAGACGGGCCCCACTAGGTATAAAGGTGCAATGGGTCCATAGCACTTGCCCCAACTCTCAGGAATTCAACCTTCTATCGTCCCCTGGGCATCATGATGGAAACAGCATGAGAGCTAACATCACAACTCGCACTGCCTGGAATGCTTAGGAAGAGGGGATAGTAGGCTTGTTCTAGAAAGACTAGCAAGAATTGGCTCAGAACATGGGGTCTGAGCTCAGTCTAAGCAGGGACTCAACAGAATGAATTAGAAATACCTGTCCCTTTATGGCTCCCAAAGGCTAGGGCCTTGCCTAGACTCACGAATCTAGATGCCATTATTAAGAAAACATTCAGGAGACCCTCCCTGAATAGAAGAGAAACCTTCAATGTTTACATCATCAGTCTCTACCCAACCAAAGTCTTCCCATGCCTCCCCTTTTCTTTTTTAATGATTAAGAAGTTATATAAGGGGGTTAAAATTCCTTAAGTCAGGGTAGGCATACCAATGTTTCTTGGTCAGTGTCACCCATTTATTCATTCTCCATTTTCTCCCTGCTGTCCCTACCCACAAGTTAACATAGTTCCATTCTTACACAATGTGCATTGAACATAATGACTACATTTTCTTACCTCTCTTCCATTCCTATGATTCCCCTTTGCTCTCCTCCCAAAATATGTTTCCACTTCCTGGTATTCATTTTGATAAGCAGTACATTAGTCGTTCAGAGAAGTTACACCTTTGAAGTCTAAGTATACTATCATTTAGTCTGTTTGTTTGTATGTAAATGCTGTGAGCCCCATATATGCTATCATGCACGGTTGTATTTTAAATCTAGTTTCTACAGATGAGAGAAAACATGTGTCCTTTGTTTCTCTGGGCCTGGCTTACTTAACAAGATTTGTGCTAGGTCCATCCATTTTCCTACATTTCACATATCATTTCTAGTGGAAGAGTAAAATTCCATTGTATCCATGTACCACATTTTCTTAGTCCACTCATCCATTTTAGGCATTCCTCCAGTATTCATACCTTAGCCAATCTAACTCCTCTGTTAGCCCATGCAACAAAACTTACCAAGCCAGCCCAGCCCCGCATCCTGCTCATTATCTCTGTACAGCCTCCTCTTCATTCCCCACCCCTGACAGCATAATGACTCTCTCTGCCCTTTGACATGTCCAAAACTTACAACAGCAATGTGGCAGATACCTGTCCACACAGCTGCCTCCACCAACAGAAGCTCCCCATGGCCAGACACAGCCTCTTCTGTATCCCTGAGGCCCAAAGTATGGCCCATCCTGGGACATGTATCCAAGGAATGGGTGACAACTGAATCTCATGGCCTGGTGAGATGTGTCAGGGAAAGTAACCCTACGCCATTTCACACTTGGGCAGCAGACTTAGAGTCATTCAATGGCAATTTCAAGATCACACCTCTGGCAGGTGTCAGAACAAGCCTTCCAACCCAGGCCATTTGACTCTCTCTGATGTTTTGCAGATGATTTTATGGTCCTTCTCCCAGCCACATTTATGAAAGCCTGAATTTGATGGGATTATTACTGACATTAAAAGTTAACCTTCAACCTTGCATCAGGCCTTTCCTGCTCCAACCACTGAGGCCTAGCCCTCAGGGCTAGGCATTTATAGTTCTCTATGCTTCAAATCATTTAATGTTCTTAACTTCTTGAAAAACTGAGTATATTTTTCCCTTTTTAGGAGCGGCTGACTGTACTTTATATGAGAATTCCAAGGGTGTGGTACCCTGCCAATCAGGAAATACCTCTCTGTGTCTCTATAAATGTCTGCCAGAGAGGTCTTCTATCGGACATTCGCCTCCTCAGGACCTGCGACTTCCTGCATCTCATTATGAGGCTTCTAGTCCTTTCCAGCTTGCTCTTCGTTCTGCTGCTCTGTTTCTCCGTCTTCTCCTTGGAAGGTAGGGCTGCTCCACACCCATTACCCCATCGGTCCCCCCCCACACTCCGAAATCAGGGACAGCTATTGTATTGTCTGAGAAGGCCATTCTGAGCTCTGGAATGATACAAGCCTGAATCTATGCAGTGCCCTTATCCACCATAGCCCCCTAACTGGTTGCTTGGGGCAGCTTCAGGCCCAGAACCTCCACCCACCTCTCCCCCAGCTCTCTTACGATTCATGGCTACTCCACAAGACGGCTGGAGCCACGTCCTTATTGTCTGGAAATTCAACGCCATCCACGTGTGTTGTGCTTAAATCAGTATAAATTTGTGCTGGGTGAGTAGTCAAATTAGCTGGTTAGCTATCTGATTTTGAGCATTCCAAAATCTCATGCACAGAAAACACCCACAGGCGGATGGAATGAGGTAAGATGGCAGGGGAAGTGTCTGTGTATGTTTAACAGTGGCTGGGCAGGGGGTGATGTTTTCAGCCCCATGGATAGGAGTATTTGGCTCTCCTGATTCAGAGAGGTAAGTATTGGGGCTTTTTTGTGTTGCTTAGAAACTGCTTACTTTGGAATATCGGCAGAGGAAAAAAAAATGCTGCCTTTCCCCATAAAGTGTTCTATCCCTTTAAGACTATTTGGCAGATTCCAGAAGTGGTGTTAGTCAATTAATACTTGTAAATGTATCTTACCACCCTGAATGAAGCACACTATCATGAATTCATGTCCTTGGGCATTGCAATGGTTCATAACTTCATAATGTATTAATATGTGGAACAGAGCTATGTGTATATAAATATTTCTTTTTTTTTTTTTTGTCCGTCGTGGGGCTTGAACTCTGGGACTGGGCGCTGTCCCTCAGCTCTTCAGCTCAAGGCGAGTGCTCTACCACTTGAGCTACAGCGCCACTTCTGGTTTTCTGGTGGTTTATTGGAGATAGGAGTCTCACAGTCTCTCCTGCCCGGGCTGGCTTTGAACCGCGATCCTCAGATATCAGCCTCCTGAGTAGCTAGGATTACAGGCGTGAGCCACCAGCGCCCGGCTATAAATATTTCTTCTATTTAGGATTCTTTTTTTTTTTTTTTTTGGGTCCAGTCGTGGGGCCTGAACTCTGGGCCTGGGTGCTGTCCCTCAGCTCTTCAGCTCAAGGCTAGCACTCTACCACTTGAGCCATAGCGCCACTTCCGGCTTTTTTCATTTTGCTTATATGGTGCTGAGGAATCGAACCCAGAGCCTTAGGCATGCATGGCAAGCGCTCTACCACTGAGCCAACTTCCCAGCCCCCTATTTAGGATTCTTAAACTAGATTTCCAAGAGAATTGCTGTGTGGAATAGCATCATTTCTCCACAGTGCCAAAACTGTGTTTAGACTTGAGCAGCATGAGAAAGATTATTCTTAGAGCATTGTTACCCACCAAAGCTGACTTTGCTGTTTATGAAAAGTAATAACAAAGCCCATCTCTTATCCTGGTTCAAAGCTAACCAGGGAAGAAAAAGCCCTGAGAGTTTAATCTCCAGTTAACCACCAAAAGGCTAGAAGTGTAGACATGACTCAAGTGGTAGAGCTCCAGTTACGAGCAAAAAAGCCAAGTGAGAGCACTAGGCTCTGAGTTTAAGCCCCACTACCCACCCACACACACACACACACACACACACACACACACACAAACACACACACACACACACACACACACACACACACCACTTCCCTCCTGAAGCCTGGCTCATCCTGAGTCTCACACTGAGCTTTGGAAGTAGAAATTCACTAGAGCTGTCTCTGCAAAGATCTGTTCCAGGGTGTCTCAAACCCACTAAAGTATCTGTTTCTTTGTGTCTTCAGGGAGAAGGCATTTTGCCAAGCCTGGGAAACTCAGGTTCTGTTGTCGCCTAGCTCCTAGCCGCAACCAGACAACCCAGAAAGGTAAGTATCCTCACCCTGCTAGGGCCCAGGGGAGGCACAGGACAGGCTAGACTTGTAATGGCCCCCACCTGTACCTGGCCTTATTCAATAGTAAAGAGCCCGACCCCACCCCACCCCTGCAAACAGGTGTGATCTCAGGTCTCAGTGCAAGTCACTGATGGGGGATGGCATCTGAGAAGCCCCAATTTGGTGGAAAACAAGGTGGCTCCCAAAGATTCAGGCATCCAGACTGCAGACCCAGGCACCAAGATGGAGGCTCAAAGCCAGAATCCATGCTCAGGATGAGTTGCAAAAATTCACAGTCTGACCTTTCTCAGACTTGAAGAAATGATCCACTGAGTACTAAGAGGGCCTGACCCAAGAGGGCTGTGTGTTCCTAGTACTGAGGCTCCAGGCCAGGGGCAGCCCGACACATTGGGATTTCTCCCCTGAGGCCTGTGACCTGTGCTGCTGGACCTCTGTGGTCAGAGGGCCATAGATCACAGAGTGGGCAGAGCCCTGCAGGAAGGCCGCAGAGCCTGGACACCAACGTCTTGCCTATGCTTCAGCTCTGCAGCCCTGCTGGTTCCTCTGAGCAGCACCGAAGCAAAGAAGCAAAAAGGCAAAGAGGCTTGCAATCAATGGCAAAGCCTTGGTCCTTATGTCTACCCCAGAAGAAACGGGGAAGATGGTGGTAAAGTTAGAGGGAGGGGAGCAGGATGGCTTCGGTCTCAGGCCACCCCAACAGCCCCTCCTTCCAACTGGCATCACACCCAGAGTGGGGCTGAGTAAAAATAACCAGTTGTCACACATACACCTCAAGAACTGAGAACTGAGTGTGAGGCACCCGCCCAGGCGAGGTGGAGGGTGAGCAATGCCTGTCTACAGCTCAGTCCCCCCAGGCCTAGAAGAGGAGGAGCCGAGGAGCAGCAGTGTTTCTGTGAAATGAGATGCAAACCTAGGAAGAAAGGTGGCTTGTTCCAACCTGCCCATCCTCTCTGGCAGGATACTCGGAGACAGGAGGGAGAAATTGGAGGGCGGGGTACACCCATTCATAACACATATATACAGGCACTTACACAAATACACGCAAACACATATATATAGCACACCACTACACACACCGTGAGATACACAAAGAGCTATACATATTGTAACCCCTCTGTACAATACTTTTACAATAAAAATATATAACATACAGATTAAACAGATAAAAATACATATGCCATACACTACACATATACATACACACAGATACACATAGATACACATGCATTCAGGCACACACAGATATGTATACAAATGCATACATACATAAACATATATGCCCCACAACTATGTACAGGTATACACAGCTTACACACACTACCCACCTAGCCATACATGTCAGCAAAACACTAAACACAAAGACACAAATATACAATGCACAGACATGTACATTGTATGAACACATATACTATCAGGTACACACACACACAAATACATATCTACACAAATGCATCATAACACATAACCTCACAACTATACTTAGAAAGCCAGAAATAGACACATAGACCACACACACACACACACACACACACACACACACACACACACACAGAGTTCATAGGAAACAGCCAGAATTGCTCCTTGTGTACAACCTTCTCCAGTGCAGAACTATTTAGATCCATGGCCCTTATGTGGAGATTAGATTTCTTATTTGTGTGTATATTTTCAAAATACCATTTCAGAAATGGATCAACAACTTAGAAGAAGAAGAGTGAAACAAATATGTTGACTGGGTCCTGACCATGCAATCTCTTTGAAATCCTGTAGGTCTTGTGTCTAATGTATAGATTGGGAAACTGAGACTCAGAAAGAAACTGAGGCAGAACAGGAACCAGAGTCTATGGACCTCTTTCCTGTGCCTTTTCTCTCTAGAGCGAAAGTTCCTGCAGCCTCTGAATGAGGACAGGCCGGGGCTAGGTAGATGCAGAAGTCTGCAGGCTGCATACCTTTGAGCAGGTCCCCAGGTTGGCTGAGCTGTGGTGAGGAGTCAATGAGGTCATGTCCATAAAGCCCTTGGCATCCAGCCTACTACATAGCACAAGGCCTGTTACCTGAGGTGAAGGCTAGGCCCTAATCAGGCCTCCGGAGTAGTGCCAACATGGAACAGCAAAGCCCAGGCTGTCTTACGAGCCAACCTGGGGATGATCAGAGAAGAGGAGGTGAATCAAGTGTTATGTGACACAGAGCAGGATTTTAGAATTTTCCAGGCTCCTGAAATCCAGCCTTCTGTCCCAGTTCAGAGAGAATGCAGGGGTGACTCCGTTCAGTCTAAAGCTTTCCTAAGCATTACTCTGAATCTGAGCCCTGTGTTGCATGCAGGGTATAGAGAGCATGCTGTAGACAGCCAAGATTCTGTGTTAAAGGGACCAAAGCCATCTTTGAAATTTAAAGGTGAGAAATGGCTGCTCTGCTGCATTGACCACATTTCTCACTTTACTTTAAAAATAAAGAGTTTCTCAAGTATTTTGAAAGTGTGTAGCGTCCCACATAGCAGCCTGGTTCTGGGATTTGAATTCAGAGCTTCATACTTGCTCATGTTGCATCCCACAGCTTATACTCTACTACTTTTGTCACACCTCCACTCTACCTTGTCCCTGGTTATTTTGGAGATGGAGTCTCCGGAGTCTCTCACAAGTGTGAGCCACCAGCACCCAGTATTAATTGTTTTTTTTTTTTTGTCTTTTTCAACTGAGAGCTTTGTACTTGCTAGACAAAGGCTCTAATTACTTCAGCTATAACTCCTTCCCAACCTCCCCCCTAAGAAACATTCAATATACTGGCCATATTGGCTCTTGAGGGACATCCAGCACTGGCCCCAAGACTATGAGATCAGATTGATGATTGTTTAGGCCCCATCAGCTGAAAGGTCCATGAATTTGAGACCTCTGTCAACCACTTTCCTGAGGCTGACAGAGGAAAAGCTTCTGGGAGACCCAGGCACCTGAGAGACTGCCCAGGTTCAGAGAGCTGCTGCCACCTCCCTGCATCAAAGTGTAGCAGACTCACAGTGCAAGCCATAAACCACCAAGTGGCCATCCATCCTTGTCTGCAAAAAGACCTCAGGTTGCAGGGACGAAAGCTACCCATTGAAGACAGTGTGGTGGCTTGAAGTTTCTTATTCCAGAGAAGACATGAAGACACAGAACAATGGGCTTTGAAAGGAGGTAGAGAAAGCTCAGATCCATAGCCATAATCCTTGTAATTATACCCATAGCTGCATTTTGAGCCATCCCCAGCTTTGTATTTATGACTTTCCATGATTCTTCATGTCACTAGATATGTTTTCTAGGTTTAGCTGATTCCATCCTCTTCCTTCCTTCTTTCCTTCCTTCATTTCTCCCTCCTTCCTTCCCTTTCTTTTTCCCTCCCTCCCTTTTCTTTCTCTTGTTTCCTTCCTTTCTTTCTTCCTCCCTTCCTTCCTTCCTTCCTTCCTTCCTTCCTTCCTTCCTTTCTTTCTTTCTTTCTTTCTTTCTTTCTTTCTTTCTTTCTTTCTTTCTTTTTCTCTTGTTTCCTTCCTTTCTTTCTTCCTCCCTTCCTTCCTTCCTTCCTTCCTTCCTTCCTTCCTTCCTTTCTTTCTTTCTTTCTTTCTTTCTTTCTTTCTTTCTTTCTTTCTTTCTTTCTTTCTTTCTTTCTTTCTTTCTTTTTTTTGTTGGTCATGGGGCCTGAATTCTGGGCTGGGACACTGTTTCTCAGCTCTTCAGCTCAAGGCTAGCATTCTACCACTTGAGCCACATGTTACTTCCAGTTTTCTGATTGGTTTATTGGAGATAAGAGTCTCACAGACTTTCCTGCCCAGGCTTTGAACTGCAATCCTCAGACCTCTGCCTCCTGAGTAGCTAGGATTACAGATATTAGCCACTGGTGCCCAGTGTTTTCTTTCTTTCTTTTTATCACCTTTTCTTTCTTTTTCCCTTTTTTCTTTCTCTCTTCCTTCTTCCTTCCTTCCTTTCTATTCCTTCCTTCCTTTCTTTCTCTCTCACTCCTGATCTTTCCTTCCCTGCTATTTCCTTTCTTTTTTCCTTTCCTTTTCTGTTTCTTCTTTCTTCCTCCTTTCCTCCTTTTTTTGTCTTAGACAGTGTCTCACTATAAAGCCCAGACTGACCTCAAACTCACAGTCCTCCTGCCTCAGCTTCCCAGTGATTAGATCACAAGCCTCATCCATTCTTCTTAGAGTTCAGAAAAGTGGCTTTGTGGATCTTGGCTAGGCTCTCCTGCCTGCCTCAAGCTGGAGGATGGGCCCAATTGGAACATTTAGAATCTCTGCACATGGTTTTTCATTCCCCAAGCATGCTATGCCAGACTGCTCACTCAGGGTTGCTGAACTCCACTTGCATAATGGAGAATACATTAAGGCCTCTTTAGGTAGGGGCCAGGAACTAGTCCACCTTCATTCCACCCCATGCTATTGGTCAAAGCAAGTCATAAAGCCAGTCCAGATACCAGAAGCAGGGGAATGGATTCCATATCATAGTGAAAGTAACCACAAAAGAGAAGGCAGAGTATTTTTCCCATATGTGCAATCTATCAACCACGATTGTTTTTGTTTTGTCAGTCTTAGGGGCTGAACTCTGGGCCTGGGTGCTGTCCCTCAGCTCTTCAGCTCAAGGATAGTGTACTACCACTTGAGACACTTCCAGCTTTTTTTCTGCTTTCTATGGTGCTAAGGAATCGAACCCAGGGCCTCATACATGCGAGGCAAGCACTGAGCCAACTTCCCAGCACTCAACCACAATGTTTATTGCAAAACCTAGAAAAGGCTGTCTGGGATTTAAAGGTAGGGATGCGGGTAGAGGAAGTGGTCAGGAAACCGTGGGCCTCCATCAGGAATGCTAGTGGAAAATTCTTATAGTACCATATCAATAGAAAAGAGTGCACGCTATATTGTTGTGATTATCACCATGAGAAGATAAAAGCACTTTCAAAGGAAGAAGGAAAAGCAGGAAGAAAATCACACCAATGTTAGCACTTATTTATGATTAATACATGAGGCTTGTAGATGAATTATGATCATTCAATCTATTTTTAGTTTAGCACGCACTTATTTAGCAATGAATAGGAGGAAGATTTATGCCTGCTAACACACTTAATCTCAAAATAATCCTAAAAGTTAGATACTAGGACTGTCCTCATTTTCACACAGGAGGGAGCAAAGCATGGAAAAATAAGAGTTTGTTGGGCTGGATGCCAGTGGCTCACATCTCTAATCCTAGCTACTCAAGAGACTAAGATCTGAAGATCAAGGTTTGAAGCCAGCAAATCCATGAGATTTTTTTTCTGGTCCTGGGACTTGAACTCAGGGCCTGGGCACTGTCCCTGAGCCTCTTTGTGCTCAAGGCTAGAGCTCTAAACTTGAGCCACAGTGCCACTTCCAGCTTTTTCTGAGTAGTTTATTGAAGATAAGAGTCACAGACTTTTCTGTCCAGACTGGTTTTGAACCATGATCCTCAGATCTCAGCGTCCTGAGTAGCAAGAATTACAGGTATGAGCCACTGGTACTTGGCTATGAGATTCTTATCTCCAAGTAAATAGAAAAAAGCCAGAAATGGAGGTGTGGCTCACATAGTAGACTGCCAGCACTGATCAGAAAAGCCAAGCGAGAATGTGTTTCTGAGTTCAAGCTTCATTACCAGCACACGCATACATACACATACACACACACACACACACACACACACACACACACACACACACACACACACAGAAAGAAAGAAAAAGAAAACTTGTTGAAGGTCACACAGCTAATAAGTGGCACAATGAGCTTTGAATCCAAATAATTAGGCTCCAGATTCTATGTTTTTAAATTTCCACATTACAGTGTATATACTAATAATTTTAACGAAAGAGAGGAACAATATATGTTACAACTTAACCCTTCTGATTCATTTGTGTCTACTCTATTTTTTCCTTTTAGTTCAGAAACACTTACTTAGCTTTATTATTTGTCTTGATAGTCACCTGCTGGGCTCCAAGGAGGAAAGTAAGATCTGGTTTTTGCTTTGAGTTTAAAAAAATTGTATTTAGCAGGACAGTGGAGGCTCACACTTCTAATCCTAGCTACTCAGGGGACTGACATCTGAGGAGCCAGCCTGAGCAGGAAAATTCAAGAGATTTCTATCTCCAATTCAGCACCCAAAAAGCTGAAAGCGGAGCTGTGGCTCAAGTGGCAGAGCACAAAACTAAGGGAAAATGTTCAGGGACAGCACCCAGGCCCTGAGTTCAAGCTCCAGAACCAGCACAAAAGAAAAAAAATAACATTGTGTTTGAGAATGAATCTTGATTGTCTATCTCTCTTTCTCTCCATTCTCCACTTTCTGCCCCCCCCCTTATCTGCCTATTGCTCCCTTCCAGGAAATCGCATGAAGGTCTGCCGAGTGTGCAAGGTGAAGGCAGTGGCCCAGCCTTGGGTGGTACCTGGGGCACTCCCACAGGTGTGACTTTCCCAGAGCCAGGCTCTACCAACCGAAACTCCTGTGTCCAGAGCTGGAGACATCCAGAAGCCCCCAGATGGCCTCTTGTGACTTTCACAGCAATCTATTGTGATGTTGAAGGGCTTCATCTTGGGCAGCAAGTGCCCTGAGAAAGTTCTAGAACGTCAGGGCCTCGACCTGATCGTGTCATCAACCTTCATAATGATGGTGAATCAGGCCCAGGCCATCAGGCTTTGGTCCCCACAGAACCCGCCCATTGCTGAAAACTGAGGACCCTCATGATGACCTGTGCCAGCTCAGATCCAGAGACTCCCACACCTGCTGGCGTGCAAGGTAGCAAGACCCCATGATAGACCAGGACTGCAGAGTATCAGCAACCACCCTTCTAACCTCCCAACCTGAAAGAGCAACTAAACAAACACATCTAATTAAACTCACAGAAAAATACTATGAAGCATCCTTGTTTGAGAACATTGATGATAGGGCCTGCACCACCATGGTCTTACAAATCTATCTCCATCTTGGTGTCATAGGTCATGTGAGGAAGAGGGACAATGTGTCCAGTAACTCAGGGCACAAAGGCCAGCCCTCCTGAGATTTTCTGTGCGACCTAGGTACGATAGTTTCCTTCTGTGCAGAATGGACATTTCAGGACCTACTCAGAGGACACATGGGCAGGTATAAGGTGCTCACAAAGGGGCATAGCTCAGGAAGTCCCTGCTTCCCCTGCCCTAAGTTTCTTTGTATGAGAAGTATAGAGGTGTTGATGTTCACAGTGCACACAGAGCTGAGGCACAGAGGAGACAGATGGCTCAGATCTAAGAGGCTTATCTATCTCCCAGCAAAGCTCTCTCTGATCGGATTCTCCCAGCAAGGTGAGAAGTCCCATTCCTACAACATCCACATGCAGGGATGAGAACACTGGGCCCTGCAGGAGTGAGGCTGAGTCTGAGGATAGCAGTCAGTACCTTACCATGGGCCAGACTTCTCAGTTCTTCCCATAATCATCACTTCTAGCTCACTCACTCCCCCAGTCACTGATTCCCATATTATGCCATGATCAGACTCGGTCGTAGGTTCTGGGACTTGGAAAAGAATAAACTTGGTCCTTTGACTTCTGTCATTGTTTGTTTGTTTGTTTTCTGCTTATGTGGTGCTGAGGAATCGAACCCAGGGCCTCATGCATGCAAGGCAAGCGCTCTACCACTGAGCCACCTTCCCAGCCCCTCCTTTGACTTCTGAAAGTCAATTACTGCTCCACAAAATTGTAAGTTCCAAGGTTAGACCTGAGGATGGAGGGTTCGGGAGGAGAGTGGAAAATAAAAGCAGAGAGTTGACACACAAGCTCAGTCAGTGAAAGGGAGCATCCTCTTTGGGGAAAGAGGGTTTGGGAAGTGTGTGTGGGCATGTGTCATATGCACATAGATTGTGGTGTGTGTGTGTGTGTGTGTGTGTGTGTGTGTGTGTGTGTGTGTGTGTGTGTGTGTGTGTGTGTGTGTTGGGCTGAAGTAGGAGCACAGCTGAGACTCAGCCCAGAGGACTTAAGTGTTGAAACAGAATTCAGCACCTGGACAGCAACATCGAGGACAAAGGACCCAGGATCTCATCAGGTCTTTGGAGTTTATCTTAAGAAGAGATTTGTGTTAGGTGAGAAAGCACAAATGAGAGAAGGCAGAATTAACTAGAGCATCACAGGGGCAGAGATGCAAAAACTGGATAGGTAGAGAGACAAGTCAAACCCTACCAGGAGCCCCATTACCAAGAAGTTAGCCAGAAATGGCCGAACTGTAGTTCCTATGTCCTGGCTCTCCTCCTTCTCACCTTCTACCCAAAGAGGTAATGAAACACATACAACTTCACATGTGAGCTTGTATCCACCAGCATGGATAACTCCAAGATCATACACATCTCTGAGGGGCATAGTGGGTGAGCTACAACCTAGCTAGTACACACTAGTAACAGAAAGGCCCAGCCTGGCACCTAATTGGGGGATCAGGGCAGGATGGCGGCGCCATGGCTGAAACCACAGTGCCGTGGACACTTGCCTTCCAGGGACACCAGCCTAAGAGGGCAGACTCAGCCCCAAACAAAACACAAAGGAAGATGAGGATTCTGGGAGTGGCCCACTCCACCTGTGGCCTCTGTGACACTGATCAGATCAGATGCATTGTAACACACAAAGTGCCAAGTTGAACAGAAACACCTTTGTACAACTACTTAAAGATAATCTACTTTAAAAAAAAAGCATTCCTCTTTCTCCGCCAGCTGGAAGAGTGGATCTACTGCCCACCCCCCTCACTGTCCCAGACTAGATACAGGGGTAGGGAGGAGGCCACAGGTGTTGGATCCTACTAACAGGCTTCTTGAACCCAGTTAATGAGATCCTTTGGGAGAGTTGGCCTGCTGGGGAGGCAGGGCAGGAATAGGCAGAGATCCTTCTCTTTGTGTTTTGGTCTTGCCCTCAAAGCTTAATGTCTGGGTTGTTTCCTGGCCTCTATTTTATCTTCATGAATGCTCAGAGAAGTCATGAAAACTCCTTGCAAGTCACAGAGAAAGGTTATGCCAAAGGAAGTCTGGGGTGGGGGGAAGGACCAGTGGTGATTCATAGCCTGTAATCCTAGCCACTCCAGAGCATGAGATCTGAGGATCTGCGTGCAAAGCCAGCTTAGGCATAACATTTCATAGTTCGCTTATCTCCAATTAACTAGCACAAAGCTGCAAAAGGGGAGAGCACCAGCCACCAGAGAAAAAAAGATACAGGACAGGGCCCAAGCCCCTGGAACCTCCCATCTCTACTCCCACCACCCCAGTGGAGCCTGAGGCCTACCAGGACTCAAGGGCTTTAAGGGACCCTAGTTGTGGCCCTGGGCCACCGGCAGGAAGACTTTCCCCAGCTCCATCCCTGCTTCACAGTGCCCCACCCCCCAGAGTCCCACTGAGAGCCAGGCAGGGGCAAAGTGGGGTGGTAGGAGGGAGGGCATTCTGGGCACACCCTCCCTCCCCACCACGGCTGCGGCTGGTCCCCGTGCTCCGTGCCCACTAATTGGCCTCATTAGGCGGCCGGCAGGAGCCCTCGGGCTGCGCGGATCCCAGGGGCGTCATCCGCTTAGCGTCCTCGCACCACCCGGCCCTCCCGCCCCTCGCCCCTCCCGCCGCCGCCGCTCGCGCGCCCAGCAGAGGTCCGCGCTCCGCCGTGCGCCCAGAGCATGCTCCGCGCTCCTGCGCCCCGTCCCGGCGGCGAGGCTCTGCACCGGCCCGCGGAGACATGAGGCGCGAGCCGCGGGCCGCCCTGGCCCTGGGGCTGCTGCACTTCTGCCTGGGTGAGTGGAAAGGACGGGGAGGGGGAAAAGGGGGCCGGGGGACCCCCCATTTCTTCTTGCTGGGGCTCCAGCGCTACCACGATCCTGGATCCTGGACTCAGGTGGGCAGGCATGGGGAGCCTTCCAGCTACCAAGTCCAGTCCCAGTAGTGGGGCGCTGCCAGAGCGCTCCCCAAGAGCCGATCGTGCTGGAGCTGAGACCCTCCGCTGCACTCAGCCTCTAGTTGACTCTGGGCGGGAGATTTTCGGCTGCTCTGCCGCCCGCCGGCGGTGTGTGGGGCCAGGGACAAGGTCCTGTCTCCCTGCCTCGCGGTGTGACCATAGCTAGGTCGCTGCTCCTCTCTGGGCAAGGCTCCCCTGTCCGTTCTTTGATGGAGATGGGTTGGTGCTCTAGGTCCCGGACAGGCTTGAAGCTAGTTGAGGCCCACAGAAAGTGAGGTGCAGGAGTGGACCCTCCTCAGGGTGCCCCAGTGGGCACCCTCAGGGCACTGCATACAGGGAGTCAGAGCATCCTGCTGCCCACTGGTCCTGAAGAGTGACTGCGCGGGTGTCCCTCCCTTCTCTGTCTCTGGGTGTCTGAGTGTCTGTCTTCTCTCCCTAGCCCAGCCCAACTTTGCCCCCCACTTCTTTGACAATGGATTGGGCAGCACCAGTGGAAACATGGCCCTGTTCAGCCTCCCGGAGGACACCCCCGTAGGTAAGGAGCCTGGATTGACTGCAACCCCTCCCTCACACCATCCCATCCCCCCTGGATTCAGGAACCAAACTAATGGCATTTGGTGCCAGGTTGTGCACTCCCCGAGGTGCCCTGCTTGTGCTTTGAATTCCCCAGAGTTGTGAGAGGAAAAAGCGGGCACTGCTACCGTGGTGACCCAAGAGGGGAAGGCCAGCCACTCCTGGAGATCAGGACCAGAACCCAAGGCTGCAGGCTGCAGACTGGCTCAAAGGTGCTGCTAAAAGATTGTGCAATCTTCAGCACAACCTCAGATCTCTGGATTGAAAACTACCAAGTCAAGCGGGGCGCCACTGTGGCTCAAGCCTGCAATCCCACCTACTCAGGAGGCTGAGATCTCAGGATCGCAGCCAGCCCAGGCAGGAAAGTCCATGTGATTCTTATCTCCAATTAACCACTGAAACGCCAGAAGTGGAGCTGTGGCTCAAGTAGTAGAATACTAGCCTTGAGCAAATAGGCTAAGGGGTGCCCATGGCCTTACTTCAAGACCCAGGACCAGCACCCACACACACACACAAACCAACCAAAAAAAAAAAAAAGCCCACCCCAAACCCACAAGCCAAGAATGGTTGAGATATATCACAGTGGGGAGAGGGGGAGAGAGGATTCACCTGCATTCAGAAAACCTTTAAGAGCCAGTCTGGGCATGGGTAGTGGGGAGGGGGGGGAGTAGTGCTACACATGTGTAGTCAGTGCTTTTTTCCGCTTGTCTCCACACCCATCCCAAGGAGCCCCCTAGACTTGCCTCCTGGAAGAGCAGTTGGTGCAGGCAGAAGGAAGTAAAGTTGGTACTATTAGACATACCAGCTTCCTCTGTAGACTATATGGAAGATGACAATCTTGAGTGTGTGACTGATAACACCTAATAGTTGTGAAGATTAGTGATTTTTTTTTAAAGTTGGAAGCCACCAGCAGGGGTGAGGCCATTTATGAGTGCCCCATTCGGGGATGTAA